CTTAAATATACAAATGAATAATTTATTATGCAATAATAATTGTAAAACTGACTGGTAATGCCTACCAATGAGATAATCCTTTTGATAAAGGTGTTATAAACAATAATGTGGAAATAATTTAAGAAATAAATAATTTATTACTAATAATTTCCATTTAATTGTCATAAATAATGTAATAAATATGTTTTTGACAAGAGATAGGTATTACCTATGTAAGGATAGTTTAGGAGTTGTACCTTATTATTTATATCACTAATATATATATATATATATCTTCGTCCTGGTATTTGAAAGGGACGAAGAGAGAACTAAGTGTGAAATATGGGTAAATCAGGAATGTCTAGAACAGGTAAATGAAATTGTATACTTGGGGAGTGCTTTTAGCCGGGATGGAAGATGTGATTTAGATGTGGACAGGCGTGTCGCTGCCGGGAACAAAGTCAATGGTGCCCTGACTGCGTTAGTCAAAAGGCAAGGCGTAGCGAAGAGTGCACGCCTTGCAATACATAATGCAGTGTTGGTACCGACTTTGTTATATGGCAGCGAAACCTGGGTATGCCAGAAGAAGCATAAAAGTAAGTTGAATGCAGTGGAGATGCGATCTCTTCGTAAAATGTGCGGCGTTACCATGGCCGACCGAAAGCGAAACGAAGAGATTCGCAATATGGCAGGTTTGAAAGATGACATTATCACAAAAATTGATAAGGGCGTGCTTCGGTGGTTTGGACACGTTGAGCGAATGAGTGAAGACCGAATGGTGAAGAAAATATATAGCGCGAAAGTTAATATTAAAAGGTGTCGAGGTAGACCGAGACTAACTTTCGAAGACCATGTGAGCAAATTGCTCGAAGAGGGTAGGGTCAAAAGTACTCGGATACCTAGACGTGCATGCATGAACAAGATAATGAATCTGAAAGAAGCGAAAGAGGTTCGTAAGGATCGTGACACTTGGCGATCTGTTCTCTCTGGCTACCCCGTCAGGGATTGTGCGTGAAGATAAGTTAAGTCCTGCCCAAGCTAATAAGAACGTGTTTGGTAATTCTGCCTGCTGTTATCTACAGAGTACATAATCTTACAAGTGCTTCCTGCCCAGAACAAATAGAACAAAAAAAAGGTGTTTCATAGGATAAATATGTTTTATATTTTTTTTGGCAGTAAATAGGCCATAATTAAATGATTCATGCCATTTTTAAATCAATATGTTTTTTGTTGTCAAAAATCAGCTATATTATATTTGTCCTTCTTAGGGGTTACAGATTGGCTCAACAGTAAATAAAGTAAAAGTACTATCACCACTCAGAGGACACACAAGAGCACACACTAAGGATTCATACAAAGACATTTAAATAGTAGTAGTAATAGACCGGACATCAGCAGCAAAATTGTCGTCTGTAACTTATGTCCTATAGGATATATCTCCGATTTTTGTCATTTAGTCTTAGTGACGTCGTCAAAAAGTCAAGACATATTCGTTTCATATATTTCAAAAATATTTTTAAAGAAAATATGCCCGGTTGTGCATTAAGATATTGTGTGTCACGATATGGAGCAAAAAATCAACATGATTTCGGTTTATTATCGTATATAATATTCAATATTCCAAATGAATATATTTGAACTTTATGATTATTATTGCATTTTAATTATTTAAAATATAATGCAGTCTTCAACAGGTAGGCATGTAAATATAGACTGAACATCATAACTGACCATAGTTTCATTGTCAGTAAGACATAGGTCTTTTATCTCACTGACGAAATGGTATGAATCCAAAGAGATTTAAATATATAGGTATACTATAGAGCGGGCATTGGAAACATTTATATACAAAAACTTTAAACTAGTAAGCGTGTGTCACCCTCTAGCTAAAAATAGCAAAACAACGCTAAGCATTTATTAAGACAACATTTTAGCTTTTCCCCACTGTAGGTGACGCTAATAAATATAACTTCGTTTTAGGAATGTTACCGTTTCGATATCAAAGTATCGTAATATTGTTGAAGATTACTAAGTTTGAAATGATTTTAGATATAATAATAGGGAATGTACATAATTGTTTTATTGTATAAATCTATTTATCATGACTTTCATCACACGAAAAAAATCATATTAAATTTTTACGCCCCTTTAGTGTCATGAAATATAATATTGAATTTCCAATAACTAAGAATCAATTCAAACAGCAGTCAATTTGGTTGCCACCTTGGTGGCATCTTGGATGACGTCACTCGGTCCATTAACTGTTATAATAATAGCGTATGACTGATCGGTCGGCGTTAAAGACACAACGAGAAACGCCAAACCTAATAAGATAGCGCCTCTATGTATTTAAATTCGTTTCTATTACAAAAATACACTTCAAATCTAAAATATTTTAGGAAAACACTGAACTTAAAAGCCGTTTCACGATTTTTGCAGTACTAAAAGACACAACCCACATTAATAAAAATTGTTATTTTAAGTTTTTACCTCATTTTCTAACTCAGGCTTAACCTACAACTTCTTGCATCTAATATCTTTAACAGTACAAATTGTTTTTAATGTAAGAAACCTATAGCCCTCTCCTATCACTGTAAGCGAGTATCTATAATGGCAAGGCTTCTCTTTTATATACCAGGCTTCATTGTCTGGTGGTTTTACACCAGGCTTCATTGTCTGGTGGTTTTCATGGACAAAGCCATTATAAATCCTCGCTTATAGTGATAGGAGAGGGCAATAGATTTCTTATATTAAAAACAATTTGTGCTGTTAAAGATATTAGATGCAGGAAGTTGTAGGTTAAGCCGGAATTACAGAACATAAGGTAAAAACTTAAAATAACTATTTTTATTGATGTGGGTAGTGTCTTTAAGTACTGCAGCTGATGAAACGTGAAAAATCGTGAAACGGCTTTTAAGTTAAGTGTTTTTCTAAAATATTATAGATTTGAAGTGTATTTTTGTAATCGAAACGAATTTCTTTTTTTCTTCTTTTTTTTTAAAAACGTTACCCCCACACTAGGATTTTCTCCTGTGTCATGGAGGCAGTTTACAAACATAAATTGCACAAGAACAAACATCCAGACCCGGAACAATTATTTGTAGGTCATACAAACACTTGTTCCGTGCGGGAATTTAAAAACATAGAGGCGCTCTCTTATTGGATTTGGCGTTTCTCGATGTGTCTTTAACGCCGACCGATCAACCATATGCTATTATTATAGCAGCTAATGGACCGAGTGACGTAATGCCACCAAGGTGGCAACCCAAGGAAGTTATAATATAATATAGGGAGTGAGCGCTTGAAACATTGAAAACGTTCCTCATTTTTCTTAGAAAAGGAGGCACCTAGTTTTGTATTTTATCTCCTTCTAACATTGATAAATATTTACACAAAATAAAAACATTACCAACGTTTAGACAGATACTGACTTAAAGTAATATTTTAGACATATGCTAGAACGATAATCTTAACTTTTTTATCGCTAATCATAGTTGGTATATTCCATATTGTATTTTAATTAAGCTTATTATTAAGTAACACAAAAAAAAAACCACTAAACACTTTGATGTATGAAATTTATAACTCCAAATGTCAAATAATTAAATATTAATGTAATTTTAAATGGAAAGAAACTGAGTCTTGTAGATACCACCATTTTTCTTGGAATCACATTAGATGCCAAGCTTCAATGGAGCCCCCATATATCAAAATTAGCAAGCAGACTTAGCTCTGCAGCATATGCTGTAAAAAAGTTTAGAAGTATATATATATATATATATATATATATATATATATATATATATATATATATATATATATATATATAACATGTAACAAAAACCCTGTGGTTTACGTTAAGTACGTTATCAGGATCATTATTGAAACGTATAGAAATAACTTTTTTTTTAAATCGAACAATATTTTTTGTTTCATTTAAAAAAATAATTGTATGCAAATTGTATGTGGTTTTATTACCTCTGTATTGTCTGGGGAGTAAGAGGATTGTCAAAGACCCCGCTTTACTTAGCATTATTATCGGCTAGTGTCAGTAAGAATGAAAAAAAAAACCACATAAAATAAAAAATAAATATTTTTTAATAAAATTAAATATGGTCGTTTTTTTTAAAAAAAAAGTTATTTCTATAGCTTCGAATACTGATCCTGATAACGTACTTAACGGGAACCACAGGGTTTTTGTTACATGTTGTATATATATAGACGCATATAAACTAATCATAGCCTCTTATAATATAACAACAACATAGGGAATGGCAGAAAACGCTCCAAGAAAACTCTGGCTGATATTGATAAAAACTCAAAATTATGTATTAAAAACAGATTTATTAGCACGAAATCAAACCCACGATTTTAATTAAGTGATATACAATAGTTTCGCTTAGAAAAAAGAATTAATTTTTATGAAAATTCTATTTTTTTATAGGATAAGGGTGAAAAACGAGCACACAGTCGTCCCGATGGCAAGCGGATACTGCAGCCCATAGACATCTATATCCATCCTTGATCAATAATCAAAATGCAGATGCATTTATGCCCCTGTGGGCCAAGATGGAATGCCTCGTTTCCAGCAAAAAGTGTCTCCAGTACTTTATACCCACCGTAAAAAACACAACAGCATTAAGTTGCTATTTATGCTGGCATTTTGTGGCATGGCTTCCCGAGGCGAGTCGATCCATTCGTGTTACAATCATAACACAGCTGCAACATGACTCTACGTGTAGATGGCGCTACCCCGTAGAGCAGCTATCCACGTGATTTTTTTACTTAATGATGTTTATGGTTTTTCATTCGTGTTCGTCGTGTATGTCGTATCTCTATTGTTGTTTATTTTTTTTTTTATGTAGCCAAATAACACATTTTTTAATTAAATTAAATTAAATTTCAGTAAAACGATTAGCAAATATTATCCTGCAATCATATATATTAAGAGTCCAAGGTGGGTAAGATGGGCTATTGACTCTATAACGGCACCATATAACGAAAATGTTAAATATACTCACAAAAAAGACCTCTGTAAATATATCAAACTATATCCAACAAGATTGATACCGGCAGGTATAAAGGCAGGGTTGCCTGCAGCGCTATGAATGGCGCTTTCGGCAGCACCCCGGGTCTTGAGCATCATCTGTTGATGACAATTTATTTTAATGATTAAATGATTAAAACAAATTAGTTATTAATAGCAGATATCTTGGATCGTTAAAAATACTAGTTTATTGCATGTGAAAATATGTACATGTTTAATAATGAAGTACAATTTGTTTTTATATGTCTTAAAAATTATAAAATACTCAATACTTATAGTCGCCTCTTACGATACCTACATAATACAATGGGGTGATGAATTTTATTCAACCGCTATTACACGCCACCCCTTTTTGGCATATGGAAGTCAAATTAAATTTAAAAATTAGAGAAATCCAGGAAATACAAATATTTGTAAACTGAAGATAATTATGTAACGTACATCTAACATTTCCTTATCAAAGTTGTCACTCTCAACTGCTTTTTGATACTTCTCTCGAACTTCAGCATAACGATCTGCAAATCAAAGAAAATTATTCTTAATTAAGTAGTTTGTTACTAAAGTTTTGACAAAAATTTAATATATTTTTTTTACCGTCTATGCCATCCATTAAATCAAAATATTTTGTGATGTTAATTTCATTCAGGCAAATTTTTTTTAAAGCATCTTGTGTTGTTAGTGGAGATAGACTTTTTTTCTTTACATCATCTGGATCATCTGTTGAAGCAATATTTAGTATTTTAAGAGTCGAAGATTTTTGACATCATCTTGATGTTGTTTTAAATTATTGTACAATTATGCAGAAAGAGCTTACAGGTAATCTTAATGTCAGTCAGTAATATGATAGATAATACTTTGGATTTAACTTAAATATTAAATTACAGGATGCTAAGTTAATGGTAGATGTTTACCGTGGTGTAGCCAAGCTTCAGTTTTATTTAGGTTGCATGAATGGGTCCAGCGTCAAATAGTAGTAACACAGCAACATTAATGTTACTATGTTTCGTATGGTAAGTGTGGAGAACCGGTACCCTTTTTACTATCATTGAGGCATTTCATATTGATTATCAAGGGTAACAATGCATCTACGTTTTGATTCATAACCAAGGATAAATATAAGTGTTTATGGGTCACAAATATCCACATCATTCACTTAGCGCTGGATTGACTGTATACTTGTCCATGTTATATGATCTAGGCGATCTTGAACATAATCAACGGAAATGATGGTCATGTAAGCTAAGAGTATCGCCAGTATACAATTACCAAATTATTTTATTTCAATACGTTGTTACCGAAGATTTAAAAAAGTTAGTTTACGTTGTTATTTTTGCTTTAGTTGTTAGAGATTTAATTTTGAAATACAAGGTCTAATTTTTTAATAAGTACATATTATACATATATACAAAGGACATTATCATGAAAATATACACATTTTTTACACTGTCTAATATGCATATCAATTAACTGTACATAACATTCTCTGATTTAGTCATGCAAACTTAATTTTGAATTAATTTGGATATAGGAATACATATTAAAAATACTCGTGTAAGAACATTATTGTACAAAGTATAAAGTCTTGTTTCATCTTTTTTATAATGTTAGCGTGACAAATGAGTTAACAGTCTATTTGATGATATTTGAAGTGGTTATTGCAACTCATGAACACCTGCAATCAACTTGAAACTAGGACGCCTATATAATATGAAGAGAGATAAGGTCATGAAGTGTAACATGTTCGGGCTGCCGCTGAGAATTTCTTGACAGAAAGGCCCAATAATTGTTTTTAGCCCGATCATTGGATTCTAACCACATTATCAGGAGTCGCGTTTATCATCACTAGATTAATGAGGTAGTCTACGTCTAGATACGCCTATGTCTAGTCTATGAGGCGAAGTAGCGAGTTTACCAACTTGAAAGTACATCTACTATATGAAATGTATTGTAATTTTTCCCTGTTTCTAATTTATCGCATAAGTATTTTTTAAGTTAACATGAACAACTTGAATTTGAATAAAACTGTGAAAGAAAACATAGGGCCGCCGAGCTCCAGCACGTTCATCAGTCAGTGAAATGTGTTTTCGAATTTAATCTGGTGCCACATTGGTGCAAATATACAATCTTATATATTTAAGTATTTTTTTGCGTTGTGATATCTCCGCGTAGTACATAGGCTGCACTAAAAATATCGGGAATGGAATATTTCCACTGTTCCTGTCATATTATAATCTTTTTAATTGAAAACTCCTTGGTTTTAAAAATCGAATACCATTTATTTATTTAAGAAAAGATTCTCGGTTTTGTCACAAGGTTTTGTCAAACTTGTTTAGTCGTTGAGAAAAAGGAATTAACTCGAGAAAAATCAAGAGCGATGATTTATTATGACTTTCGAAATGGTTTAATACAAAAACAGTGTGTTGACCGGAAGATTTCTGCATTTGGTGATGAAGCCTCATCCAAAACCACAATTTATCGCTGGTTTGCTGAATTTCAACGTGGACGTGTCAAACTCAGTGATGATCCCCGTCAAGGTCGTCCAAAAACTGCAGTCACCCAAGAAAACGTTGATGCTGTGCGTAAGTTGAATGAAGCGAAATTCAGGCAACTTTAGACATTGGCATGAGTCAAATACAAATAATTTTGCATGAACAATTAGGTGTAAAAAAGTTGTTTTCCCGATGGATACCGCATTCGCTCTGTGAAGAGCAAAAAGCGGCTCGCGTTACTTGGTACGTCAGAACTCTCGAAAGATTCCACGCAGGATCCTCAAATGCTGTATACAACATCGTATCAGATGACAAATCCTGGATATATGCGTACGAACTCGAAACAAAAAATCAGTTACGAGTTTGGGTGTTCGAAAATGAGTTAAAGCCAACAAAAATTGTTCGTTCACGGAGTGTTGCAAAAAAAATGGTGGCCACGTTTGTCTCCAAAACCGGCCATGTTACGACTATTCCTCTTGAGGGACAAAGAACGGTTAATGCAGAATGGTATGCTAGCATTTGTGTGCCACAGGTCCTTTCTGAACTCCGTAAAGAGAATTGCAACCGCCGCATCATCCCCCATCACGACAATGCGAGTTCTCACACCGCACACAGAACAAAAGAGTTTTTAGAGCAAGAAAACATAGAACTATTAGACCATCCGCCGTACAGCCTCGACCTAAGCCCTAATGATTTCTATACTTTCTCTAAAATAAAGAATCAATTGCGTGGGAAGAGATTTTCATCACCTGAAGAAGCTGTGGATGCCTACAAAACGGCCATTTTGGAGACCCCAACTTCCGAATGGAATGGTTGCTTCAATGATCGGTTCCATCGTATGGAAAAATGTGTCAAATTTCGTGTAAAATATTTCGAAAAGCAATAAATACATTTTTAAATATTAATGTTGTGTCACTTCCTTGATTCCCGAAATTTTCAGTAAATGTGTTTGGATGTGTTTTCTTTAGAGCTAAATTCTGCCCCGCTCACAGACTCTGAAGTCGAGGCTCGGATACCGTGTGCCAAATTTGAGTTCAGCGTATTTTCGATGCATTTTTCGTCATCGGCCTATCACCAGGATTTCAACCGTCAATGAGTAGTGTGTACTGTGGCCAAGTGAGCTGGGAACTTGGAGAAAAACTTGATGTTTCTCCCAAACATCCTTTATATAAAACAAATTATATACGTATAAAAACCAATACTGCAACAGTGTCCAAGATTTACGTTACCGTTACTACCTCAAAAGTCCACCGTTGAACAAAGGTCTCCCTCATAGATTGCCTCAGAGGGGAAATATATGCCATAGTTGCCACGGTTGCCACAAGTGTGGTTCGCAACCCGTCTGCCAACTGGCAACACCTTTTTTATTAGTTGTTATTAGGAAGACGCTACTGCCTATCTCCTGATCTGTTTCCCACTGTCGCCTTTTATGAAACCCATGGGAAATACCGTATAGAAGTGGAGTAAGGATATCCACCAGTCCATATTGTCCAACATTAAAGAAGAATAAAAAATACGAATCAGCTTACCGTTTACTGCATTTCGTTTGTAATTAGAATTACTATTTGCATTTGTTAAAAATATCGATATAAGCATTAAATTAAAAATAACGTGTTTCATATTAATCATATTGTTTTCAAAGTCTTGGCAACAGTTACAATAAGAAAATTTTATATTTTAAATTTCTTATCAGCACAATAAATACAAGTAAGTGGAATAAAACCGAATTTCAATTAATTTTTATTGCAGTATAGTAGTATAGTAAGTATTGTAAGGATTTTTTAATTAAAAAAATACTCCATGCGCACTTTTTTATAACATAAGGGTGACAAACAAGCACACAGTCCACCTGATGGTAAGTGGTTGCTGTGGCCCATAGACATCTACATATATCGTCGATTACATGCATCAAAATGCAGATGTGTTGTCATCCGTGAGGGCTAAGATGGAATGCCTCTTTTCCAGTTGTAGCATATTATGTCGGTAGATAATAATAACGTTTTCTACAGCTACCCTGTATTGTGAGATTAAATGATCATTTACGGTTTCGGTGAAGTCACGCCTTAAAATGTCTATCTAAGGGAAAGTGCCAGTTTTCGATTGCAAAACAGATGAGTGGGTTGTACACGTAGCACAAATAAACAACTTCTTTATTGTAAATGGAATCGACGATATCACAGAGACTCAAAGAGTGAGAAGACGGGCAATTTTATTGAATGGCATGTCACAAGACTCATATCGTCTTACTCGTGATTTATTGTAACCAAATACGTCTGAATCAACCGATTACAAGGTGATTGTTGCTACGCTTGACGTTCATTTCGACCCAAAAAAGTGTATATACACTGAAAGAAAAAAGTTTTATTCGACTAAAAAGGACACTTACGAGTCGATGGTGGAGTATGTTGCTCGTCTTCGTGGACTAGCATCGGCATGTTGTTTTGGTACAGTTCTAGAGATGTATTTGACGGATCGGTTTGTACTTGGTCTTGACTCTGCGTCTGCCCGAGAGAAATTATTTAGAAAAGATCCCAATCAGCTAAAATTAAATAAGACTTTTGAAGTAGCTTGTGCAGTTGAAAGTGCGCAGCGTATTGTTTCCGCTGGCGATTCGGCAGAGTTAATTAAGTCTTAACCTGTGCTGTATACGGACTCGCGGCAAAAAGCTACTGCAAGCGACGGTACACAAGGCGGTCGCCGGTGTGGTGGCGGCGACTGCGGAGCCCCCAGGTGTAGTGTGTGTGGTGCGAGGTCACATGATACCTCCGTATGTGGCTATCGTCATCTGTCGTGCAATTTGTGTGGTGCAAAAGGACATTTAAAAAGAATGTGTTCTCAAAGATACTACGTACATAACGAGATTACAATCAAAAAGGACAAAATTGTAAAAAAGCAGCATAATGATATGCAGAATAATTACATTTTAGAATGTAGTGATAGTGACGAATGTAATGATTTTTCACCAATTAATAATGTTAGAGATATAAATAATGAATCACGTAGTAATACTATTTTATGTAAGGAAAAAACCGATATCTCTTGAAGTTATATTGCGAGGTGTTACTCTTAGTATGGAGGTCAATTCCGGTAGTGGGGTTTCAGGGCTGCCGGCGATGAGATGAGATGTCTAAAGTTTAACCTTATTTTCACCACAAAGATCTTGTACCCATTTTATTTTTTCACATACTTTAAAAAAAATTTATCTTTCAAATATGTCTCGATAATTCTGTGAAACTCTCTATGATCAATAAAGCACTTATTCCATCGTTATAATTTTTTCTTTTCAATTGTTCGTATAATAAGGAAAACTTATCTTCTGAAAAACTGCCATTCAGTCCCTCATAAGGATAATATAAAATGATGATTTTAAAAAGACTCTTACATCAGGTACGGCAATGGTCAAACTCTACTATTGATAATGCCGCTTTATGTTTGCGGTTGGTTTGTAAGGCGATGGCAAAAATTGTGGCTTCTCTATTTGCGATGAAGTTTTTATAGACCAAGTTTGTCAATGTTTACGTGTATTGGTTAGCAATGGATACTCATATAATTCCCGGGAGCGGAACGCTAATCTTTCTTTAAATGTTTTGATAGATCGATTTGTTCACGATCTGATACTTTGATGTGTGGGACTCGCCAAACAATTTTATTTATTATAATATCATCTACGATTTCACCTGTATTAAACTGGATCGCATTAAGATCCATATTGCTTCATAATAATACTAACTAGGGTTTACAATTAATTATATTTTTTTCATAATCTTCTGCAAGTCCTAATATCTTGTTCAGTGGTATAGATGCGGAATACACTTCACCACTAGTATTGCTTGTTCGTGCAGTTGACCAGCCCCAAACTTGTGCACATTTGGATTAATTTTTATTTAAGGATAGATAAGATTTGATTGTAGTGACTTAATTTTATCTATTTCTACTCCATTAAGTTTATATAAAGTCTATATTAAGTATGTCTTGAAATAGAAATAGTGCTGGATTATTAACAAAATGTACGTTTGATACCTTTTCTTTCATGGTGATGTTATTAACGTTCACTTTTCCATTGATAAATAAATTACTGAGTGAAGGTAGCATGTACAGGTCTTGCTGATTAATAGGAATACGTATTTCATCATTCTTGTAAAAACTAGTTACATATGGTTTGTATGAATTATACTCGAAACTTTCAATGCTATTATCGTATGATGTTTGTGGCGATATGTTTAAAATATTCATTTTATCAAGCCAACTAACTTAAGAAATGATTTGACAGTCTTGGTAAGCTTCTTTTTAGCTGAAGAGGTATGCCTTTAAGAGACGTTCTTTTAGAAGAGACTTGCATACACGACGTAGGTGGGCATTTATTGAAATTTATCTTTTGTTTTCGGAAATGTAAATACAGTTGTACTTCTTCACCTCGTAAAGGACATTGTAAAAACTCGCCTAATAACCAACATATATTTGACAATTACCAAAATTCTTATCCTTAATTATGCATTAGATAACATTCAATAGTATACAATACACTGCTTTATTCTGCACAAAATATACGGTATCACTCTTTACATAATGTCACTAACACTACACAATACTTGGTACACGTCTGTCGGTATACACGTATTAACAGAGATGTCGCCTTCTCACTGGTTACAATTCAACTGCCCGATGTTCACACGGCGGGCTGTATTTATACCCCAGTAGTGACGACTCACTACCGTTTGTCTATACACTACAAGACGTTTGTCTATACACTACATCTCTTCCTTTTTCTTAATATTTTTTATTTCTGGTTACATGCATGATCAGTAGTTGCTTTAACTTTTACAGAATCAGTTTACATTATTCTTCAATAATCATTCTTATTTCATGAGTGTTATTATCTGTTACTTCTTCATTCAAATTGGGTACATTTCCTTCTTGTGCATCGTTAACTACTCTCCACTGTCCTTCAATTTTTTTTAAGTGAACTACATTTCGTCGATATTGTGTATTCGTATCATTTTTGCGAATCACTACGTCTCCAGTGTTGTTAGTAGTTTTTACAACAGTATGTATGTCTGGAGAAAAGCTTGGTGTAAGCTTATTTTCTTTGGCAAAATTTTTTATAATTACCTTATCACCTTCATTTATGCTGTGATCTTTGGCCTTTCGCTTGCGGTCACTGTAATTTTTCCCTGCTTCTTTTGCAATGCGTCTTTGTCCCTAACTTCTGAATCTTCTTGTTTATTTTCAATATCTATGTATGATGGAATTTTATCCCGAAATTGTCGTTTGTAAAATAGTTCAGATGGAGTTTTACCAGTCACTGAGTGGGGTGTGCTATTGTACATCATCAGATAGTAAAATAAATCTTCTTTCCAATTCTTTCTTTCCACTTGACTGATTTTTAAGCGTTTTAGAATACTTCGGTTTTGCCTTTCCACTTCTCCATTCTGTTGGGGCCAATATGGTATTGTGTTGTGAAGAATTATACCACATTCTTGCAGGTAATTACGAAACTCTTGACTAATAAATTGCCTGCCGTTATCTGCAGTGATGGTAACTGGATAACCAAGCCGTGAAAATATCTCCTTTAATAACCTGATAATATCATTTGATGTTACACTTTTTGTTACTTTTACTTCCTTGTAACGACTGTAATAATCAATGATAACTAACAAAAAATCTCCAGAGGGTAGAGGTCCCATTAGATCAATAGCTACATCAATCCATGGTTCGACCGGTAGTTCACGGCGTTTCATTGGATTAGGTGGGTTTGGTGCAGATACTAATGTGCAACTTTTACAGTTTCTTACGAATATCTCTGCATCTTTGTCAATTTTAGGCCACCATACTTTCGTCCGTAATCTTTGTTTCATACAAACAATACCAGGATGATCCTCGTGAGCGGCTTGCAATACTTGCTGTCTTAATTTTTCAGGAATAACAATTTTGTTACCTCGAAATAAAATATTATTTTGGAAGAAAAGCTCTGATTGAAATACTTTATAATTTGATATGGTATGGTCCCAGGTACACGAGTATAAACCTTGTCTTACCTTAGCAATTTCGGAATCTTCCTTGGAAAATTGCTCAATATCGTCGAGTGATACGGCTACGTGTCTTGAGTATTCAATTATATGCCTGATATGTTCCTCATCAAAATTACGTACCATTGTATTCACAGAATTATGGTTTGATGTGCAAAGTCTTGAAAAGGAATCAGCTATATTCGATTTACCTGGTCGGTATACTATTTTGTAATTATAAGCTTGTAATCGAAGAACCCATCTTTCGATTCGGGCACAAGGCTTAGAGCATCTTCCAAAAATAATTTCTAATGGTTTGTGGTCACTTACCAGTTCAAACTCACTTTTTCCATAAAGATATATTCTAAAATGTTCTACAGATCATACTAAGGCCAGCGCTTCCTTTTCAGTTTGGCAGTATCGCTTTTCGCAGTCTGTTAAACTCTTATTTCCAAATGCTATTCTTCTAGGTCATTTTGAATTAATTTGGATAAGAACCGCCCCTGACCCAACAGGACTGGCATCAGCAATAACTTGGGTCTTGTCAGCCGGATCATAATATCCTAATGACTGCATATTGCATAGAGTTTTCTTCAATTCGTGAAATGCGTTTTCCTGGTCTTTGGTCCAGAATTTCCCAATGTCGGCATTTTTCCCCAGCTTTAGCCTTAATATTTTCCGAAAAGGCTCAGTGAGTGTCGCCAAATTTGGTATCCATTTCCCAACAAAATTTACTAACCCCAAGAAACTTTAAATTTTCTCGATAGTTGATGGTGCCCTAAACATTTGGATAATGTCAATGTACTTTTTTAAAGGCCTTACACCTTCACTAGATAACTCATGCCCCAAGAACACTATTTTATTTACTTTGTAAATACACTTATCATTATTTAACAGAACATTGTTCTCTTTCAAAATATTGAGTGTCTGTTGTAATCGTTGGTCATGCTCTGTCTCATTTGATCCAAAAATTACAATATCGTCAATAAAATTTACCGTACCTACACAACGTATAAGTGTGCATTCCATGATTTTCTGAAACATTTCTGGAGCACAGGAAATACCAAACATAAGTCTCTTGTATTTAAATAACCCTTTGCTCGTTATAAATGTAGTGATATATCGGGTATCAGGATGGATTTTGATTTGGTGGAAAGCGTTTTTAATATCGAGGCGAGAAAATAATTTCACATTTTTAAAATGTGGCAGCAGCTGGTCCATTGTTGGTAGTGGATGATTTTCACAAATTATTGCTACATTAGCTCTCCGCATATCGATACAGATCCTTATATCCCCATTTTCCTTTAAAACAGGCACCATGGGTGAAACCCATTTTGATGGCTGCAATAATTCTTGTATCTTTTTATTAACCTTTGTTTCTAGGGGTATAGGTATTCTCCTGTAAGGCTGACTTACTGGCGTTATTTTCTCATCAATAGGTATCTCAACAACAACGTCTTTAAATTTTGGAAATACTGTAATATTTTCATCTGATGTTGACTCAACGGTATTTACTTTAACACCTAATCGCAAAATGCCCAATGCTATGGAGGTTACTTTCCCCAAAATATCCTTAGTGCCGTTTTTTATCACATAGAAAACAGCAACTTCTTTTCTGCTATTGATTTGGACTTGAGTTTTAAATGATCCCAATATAGTTAATGGCTTAGTGCTACCATAGGCGTAAAATATTTTATCCGGTGATCTATCCATTTCAAAAACATTTATTTTATTTGTTTTTAGTTTTCTCCGTGTAACATCCGTTAATAAATTACATTTATATCCAGAATCGATCAATAATGACGTCTTGACACCACCAACCCAACAATTAATAGTAGTGTCGTCATCTACATGAAAAACAAAATCGATTTTTTCTTTTTCCTCCGTCCTTGATTTTTTGGTGGGGGTAGGGTCTTTTGAACTCAAAAATTGTTTTTTAAGTGGCCTTACTGTCAAACAGTACTTTCGTAAGTGCCCCGTTATACCGCATTTATGGCATTTAATTTTCGTTGCGGGACATTCCATTGATTGAGGCATATGCTTAAAGCTCCCACACCTAGTACACGATTTGTTAGAAATTTTCCTTCTGGTTTCAATTTTATTTACGGTGCTGCTATAACATGCCGGGTTGTGAGTAAATTCTTCCGTCTGTTCACACTTTCTAAGGTATTGGCTTCTATTATGATGTCTTCTAATGTCATTTTGTCACCTCCTTTTAAAATTTTTTTACGAAGCTCGCCAGAGTAACATTTTTCTGTAATTTGATCGATAATGCTTTCTTCTTTATTTGCAAAACAACATTTATCATCCTGTTTTCTTAATCGAATTAGAAATTTTTCAAATTTTTCTCCCGATTCTTGTTTCATTAGTCGAAATAAGTGTCTCTCATATACTTTGCTTTGTTTTGGAGCAAAGTACTCGTCTAACTTTTCAATGGCTATAACATAAATATCCTTCGTTGGATCATCTGTACTGCTAACATGGTCACCTGGTATATTATAGTATATTTCTTGGAGACTAAGGCCACCCATGTGTAATAATGTAGCCCTTTTTTTAGCAGATAGTTCAATATTTGCAGCTTCTAGATAAATGTCTAAACCTCGCTTCCATTTTTCCCATTTTGCGCCAATGCCATGAGAATTCCCATCACAATCAAATGATTCTAAAGGGGGTAGTGATGACATTTTTTATTTTTATAGTTATAGTCTTATTCCTGTAAAAAAAAAGATATACAAGCCGATAATAACTAATTAATTTCTACCAGTACTTTTATTTATTAGCTTTTCGTACTAGAACGGGGAACATCTTGAATGCCCGCAGCATGATAACTCAAACAGTGACAAATATATCTTTTAAATACGTGTGTCTATTATTAGACCGTCACGCAATTCCATTCTGATTATATCTCAACCTTACCTATTTTAAACCCTGTTTTAGGACCTAAAGCATGTCCATGACTGGACCTTTGCTTTAGTTATACTTGGACCATCATCAATAAGTGTCCATGATCCTGGACCATCTCATTGAGGTGTCCATTTGATTTTAACAGAGATAAATCACGTCACTGCATAACTATCAAACTGCTATTATTATAAATGTCCCCAATTTTACGATCCGTATTTTAATCAATCTCTTAAAAGAGAATCCAGCAAATCCTAGTATAAAATTTTCCAGTTCATATAAAAACATTTTTAATTACTTACAGTATTTTTTTTCCTCGTCGCCAATATACAATACACTGCTTTATTCTGCACAATATATACGGTATCACTCATTACATAATGTCACTAACACTACACAATACTTGGTACACGTCTGTCGGTATACACGTATTAACAGAGATGCTGCCTTCTCGCTGGTTACAATTCAACTGCCCGATGTTCACACGGCGGGATGTATTTATACCCCAGTAGTGACGACTCACTACCGTTTGTCTATACACTACAAGACGTTTGTCTATACACTACAAGACGTTTGTCTATACACTACAAATAGATAGTAATGGACAATTCTGAATTGTGAAATTAAAATAAAAAGGACATTTTAGATTTTGAACTTTGTGTAGATTTTTTAATAATAATCTGCTGCGTTTGTGGGCTCCTATGATTTCACCAATCGCACAATACCTTCACTGACATATTTCAAAAGTTTCATAAACTCAAATATAGTATGTAAACGTTAAGACTTTAAAATATACCTCAGATAAATATATTCCAAAAGGAACTGGGATACAATAAAATCATCTGTTTTTATTTAAAATAACAATACTTTTGTGCCCTCATTGGCCAAATCAGCATTGTGCCACGCAAAAATAAACGTCCATAACGCTGACAGATGACAAGAAATATATAATAATATAATATAATAGATCACAGAACACAATTACTCTCTACCAAGAGAGATATACATAGACGTCAAACGTGCGATCGTTTTGGTTTCGTTTAAAGAAATACATTTCTGCAAATGTTTTCGGAATCTGTTGCACTATGTGCACTATGCAGTTCGTTTGTTATGCCATATGTTTACCTAATCAAAACCTGAGTTTTATTTACTGTATAAGTTCTGGGCTAAAACTGACCTGCTTACAGTAGCAATAACATAGTAATTCTCTCTCAAAATTTCTATGATATCTGCTAGTATCTATAAATTCAGAAGAGTCCGTCAGGAGTTATTGTTCTTACATACAGTTATGTGTAATTTCAGACTTAAAAAGGTATTTTTTTCACTGTTGGTTCTTAGGCGAACATTGTATGGACGCAGAACAATGTCATTTATCTCTTTATTCTCATCGTCGATAGCACTTATAGAACTTTGGGTAACAAGAAAATAAATTAACTTATTAGGTTTTTCAATTATTCGCTAACCAGGTGGTATATTAGGTATAAATTCATAAATTATATTTCTTGCTTTCCCGTTGGTAAATTAACCACTAACTACATCGCATTTAATCCGCACGACACAGAACACTAATACCCTTAGGCGGGAAGAATGTCAACTATGAACAAAGAAAATGACCATAATGCACGCCATTTCTGTCGTACCACCTAAAATTTTTTTGCGCTGGAATTTTGAAACGTGATTTTTTAGTAGGCGCCTTGGTTGTTTCGTTTCAAAAATGGCTTAAGAATGTAAAATACCACACACACACACATATATATATATATATATATATATATATATTATGTCGAAGAAAATTCGCATTCATTGACGCCATTATTATCAACAGGTCTTGTGGGCAGCATTTTGGGTAAATACAAGCACAACACACAACACAAATAATAAACTTGTTTATACTTTTACTTATTTAAATTTAATTTAATCTTTACAGAAAATAACACTAACTAAATCTT